TCAGAGCTGTCCTCAGTCCGGCCCCGGCTGGTCTTCAAGTCCTTTCTTCGAGGGAGTTGAAAAAGAAATAGAAGAAGGTGGGACGCATTATCCCTTAACCCTCACTGCAGCCCCCAAGAAGGGACTGTTATCATCTTCATGTCTCATATGAGGAAACTTAGATTTAGGTTAAGTAATGTCTTCAAGGTCAAACAGTAAGAAACTGGAAGAGCGGGGCTTTCACCGCAGGCCCTCTGACCCCAGAGCCCAAATTCCTAACCACCGTGTGCGTGTGCCTTGCAGACTCAAGGTGTGGGCCTTGGAGCAGGGGCGCCAGCCTCACCTGGAGCCTGATGGGAATGCAGAGGCCCAGGCCCCGGCCCCGGCCCTGACCTGCTGAATCGGAATCTGCATTTTAATAAGATCCTGGTGACGCATGTGCACTTTACATTTTGAGATTGTAGGGGAGGAAGAGGTTTTCCTCCACCCTCTTTGGGTCCCTGGCTGGGTCTGAAAATTAAACTGACAAAGACAGATTAAAGGAATAAAGCATCAATAAATTTGATCGAAGTTTTACGTGTCTGTGGGAGCCTTCACAAGAGAATGAAGACCCGAAGTGACGAGAGCAGGAAGCTTTTCTACCTTTTAGACAAAGAAACAAATACATTTGTGAAGAACGGACGAGACAAAGGGGTTGGGCCAGGGGTCGTAAGTGGTGAAGGAGCGGCCAGGAGGAACAGGGTGAGTTTAACAAGGTTTATCTGCAGATTCCTCTGGTGACTTCTCTGGGCTGATAAGAGTCTGTCTCCAGTAAAAAGAGAATTTATTCCCTATCTTTAGGCAGAAAAGGGGGAGCTTTTTCTGCACTTATGGCTTCTGAATTGCCTTAAGCTTAAAATAATTTTTATGTCAAAGAGGCATATTTTGGGTGACATATTCCGGATTCCTTCAAGACACACTGCCCCGGTGGGCTTCCTCTTTCTGTCCATGTCTTTAGCTGTCTAGCTCCCTGGTAATGCTGACCCTCCCTTCCGTGGTGTAGCAGTTAAGAACATCTTGGCCTCCGGAGGTAGATTTTGGGGGTGCAAATCCTGCTCTGCCACTTATTAGCTGTGTGGCCCTAGGCAGGTAGCTTGAACTTTCGGGGCCTCAGCTTCCACGTCTGTAAAACAGGGACAGAAACAGTCCCTGCCCCGTGGGGTCATTGTGAGAATTAAACCAGGGGATGCTCGTGGAGTATTTCAGCGCCATGTCTGGCGCATAAGGAACGAAGCATGGCTGTCCCTTTCACCTCTGAGTCCTGCCCTCGTCCTCTGGCCCCCCGTCTCCTGGAAGCCTTCCCCTGACCATCAGCGCTCAAGGCCGTTTCGCCCTCTCTGGATTCTATGGCAGATGGTCTGGGACTTCAGCCACAGGGTGGTACCTTAGGGAAGATCTCCGCTTGTTGTTTTGATGAGGAAGCTGAGTCTCAAAGATCAAATGGAAGAAGCAGGATTTGAACCAAGGACTTTTTAAACTCTAAAATTAGCACTGTTTCCAATATGTTACATTTACAGTACTATGTACTTTTCTATTCCCCACATAGTAGGCAATATATGCTTGAAGAAAGAACATTAGAAGTCTCATCGTAGTGATATTTATAATAGTGAAAAATGAGGAGATGTTGGTTTGAAAAAACTTGGGTTTCTTTACCTTATGGCTTTTCAAAGGCTTTAATTTGCTAATTTTCACTGTGAATCTGAAATGGGGGGATTTGGTATGCATGGTCTCAGATATTTATTGTCCTTAGACCCTTTTTCTGAGGACTGTTTGTTAGCGTCACACAACTAGTGTTTCACGGAACACAGTTGGGCAACACGCTCTGCCCCCGCCCGAGCCTCCGCCCTCTTACCTCGTGCACTTTTTGGTTCCTTAAGGTTCGCCTTCGCTTCCGGTCGCCACACAACCACCGCTCTCCCCTGCACCTTCTGTGGCCGGTCCATGGGTTCTCTCCAGCAGTCCCCTTGCTTTATCTCCTGACAGCATTTGACTGCCCTCTGTTGTATGAGCTCATGGTGTGTCACATTTGCAGTGGGGTTTGTGGAGTTGATGCTGAGGCAGGAAGGTTTGGAGACACTGGCGTGGTGAAGGTGGCCAGGCAGTGACTGGAGGTTGAGGTCAAGTTATCATTTCAGGCTCACAGCCCAGTGAGGTTTGATCTGGAGGAACGTTCTGAGGTTCTCACTTCCTAGGCCGTTGGCCGTCCATTGGCTTTGGTCACTGTTGCTGAGCGAGTGGCCAGTGGGGAAAGCCCCACGAAGATGCACGAGCCAGCATCGCCAGCGAGCGGTACGGGAGGGCTCGGCCGCTCTGGGCCTGGGGAGCGCAGAAGCGAGGACAGCTGGTGGCTGACCTTCCCTGGTGCCACCAGGCCCAGCCCTGCTTTACCTGCTTTGCAACTCTCAACTGACCATCTGGGCCTCCCAACAGCGCTGTGCGATGAGCCCCTTCCCGGTTTTAGAGCCACAGAGAATGTCGTGATTTATTCAGTGTCACATACCAGGGAAGGAGCAGTGCTGGGGTTTGACTTGAAAACCCATGCTGTTGACCACCCTGCCTCTCTGGCCCCTGCCCTCAGAGGGTCTGAGGAGGTTGGAAAGAAAGAACAGACTAGAAGGAAGCTCTGGGGCGTAAGTCGGAAAGCACCCCCAAAAGCAGCAGCAGCTGTGCTGATAAGGGGGTCCCTGCTCTTATCTCTGGTTCTTTTGGCCTTTTACCTCTCCCCCACTGGTGGGAGAATGCCTCAGGGCCTTGACTGTGCCAGGTCCCAGGGGGCCCCTGCCTGGTGCCTCCTGCAGGCCTCTGTGCTGGGAGAGGGGCCTTCCTAGGAGCAGCCATGGACAAGAGAGGGAGGCACTGGAGCAAAGGGGCGGCTTGAGGAGCGCCCCTTCCAGAATGCAAGAGAGCAGGAGGCAGCAGGCTGCCTGGTTTCCATCTGGGAAGACACAGAGCCAATGTTCCCAGACCAGGGCGTGACCAGGCCTCTGGGAAGCTGCTCCTGGCCCCACTGACAGCGCCAGGAGCCCCACAGCCTCCTGCCCCTGCATGGAAGGCTCTCCCCTGAGTACCCAAAATGGGCTTGTGCCCTCTGACAAGTTTGGGTTTCTAACAACTGCGAGCTTGGCCTCTGTCCAGTGCAGGCCCGGATTTGTGGGCCCTTCAAAAAGCTTTGAGGAAAGAACTGACACTGGGCTTTTTTAGTACTAATTTCTCCTTCCTTGTCTCCATTTCCTCCCTCCCTTAAAACGCAAGGGGCTGGTGTTCCTGTTTCAGGGACGGTGAAGAAGCAGGCCGCTGGCAGAGCCTAGGGTCATTCTGCTGTCCCATCTCGAGCGAGAACCCTGAATGCCAGTTGGCCGGAGCCAGAGCCCCTTCTCCTAGGCAGGGAGGAGATGAGGGGACCTGCCAGGCCAGCCCAGCAAGGCTGAACCTGGAGGACCAGGGTTTGCAGCCCTCCCTGTGCACAGTGGGAGGAGGCTGCGGGGCACAGCTACCCCTGTGGTGGGGGCGAGGGGTGTCATAAATCAGCTGTCTGATCTCCTGCCCTCGGGGTGCCCCTGGTATCCCCCAAGGACACACCCATTCCCTCAACCCCAGGTTACCCCTGGAGCCCAAATCACCGCGCCTTCCTCCTCCTGGTGCCGCCACCCCACAGCCCTGCCAATCGCAACTCCCCAGAGCCGATTTTCTCTCGCCCCGCCCTGTGTAAAGCTCTTTGTGTGATTAAAGTAATTCCCACTAAAGTAATTCATTCTTTTCCGAATAACCCACAGGCTGGGTCCTTCCAGAGCACATTTGCATTTCAAGTGGAGCGTTTGTACAAGCTAATTAAGCATTAATTGGTAGAATGAGGGGCAATTATTTTGGGGGCGGTGGACTTTCCCAGGCCCTTCCCTCTGATCCTCTCTACCAGCGAGAGCCCACTTACCCCCTCAGTGAGGGGCACCGCTGGGGCGCAGAAGGACGATCCTGCCTCAGGAGGAACAGGGCAGAAGAGCTGTGCTTCCCGGATGTCTTGATTTCCTTCATCAATTGAAAACTTCATAGGGTGGGACCTAAAATTGTCAACTTTTTATTTTCACAAGGTTTGTTTCATTCATCTCCTAACATCATCGTTTCACAGCACCAAGAGGCAAAGGAGGAGGTCATCTCAGACCGTCTTCTAAGTGGAATAGATTCTGCTTTCTAAAAATGTACCCCATGGTTCTTAGTGTTTTGTTTTGCCAGACTGGTGAAAATCTCCTGGGGTGAGGGCCCTGGCATTGGGACCCATGGGCTGAGTGGGCCCTGAAGACCTGCCCCAACGCCAGAGTGTCCGTACGGCACCGCATGCTGCACTAGAGATGCATTTTCAAATGTTAATAATCTGTGGTAATGTTAATTTATCACAATTTCACATAACATTCTGTAATGGAAATGGCCCCAGGAGAGAGGATGGTGGAGGAGAAAATAAAAAACATGGGGAGAAAATGAGGAGATGGGGCAGGAAGAGCAACCACTCTCCCAAGCTGTGTCCATCTTCTAGGATCCTGGGGAAGATTCTTGAGCTGCAGGAGGCAGTTTTATAGTCCTGTCCTAGAGAGGGAGAGAGAGGGAGTGTGTGTGTGCGCACAACAGAGGAACATGTGGGGGCAGCGCCTGACCTTTAAGTAAGTTCCCCCCACAAAGCCTCACCCCTTAAAGGGCTCCTCCATGGCCTGGCTTCATGGATAAGTGCTGTCTGCTGGCATCACCCTTGTGATGCCACTGTGCTTGACGCCCAAGCAAAAGACACAAAGCGAGAAAGGAAAATGTTTTGGAATGTGGGGAAGCTGTGGGAGATGCCAACCCTGGGGAAGCACGAGGCTCTGGCACTGTGAGGGAGGGACCTTGCTGTTTCCAGCCTGGCTTTGGTTCCTTCCAGGCTGCCCTGGCCTGGTTCCCAGGTCGCCTCAGCCTGAGCAGGAGGCTGTGCTCACGGGTCTTTCTTCCTGCCCTTCCAGGTGTGTGTGGCTGCTGTGGTGCCCTACGCCCCAGGTACAAAAGGCTGGTTGACAACATCTTCCCTGAGGATCCCGAGGTGGGTCGCATGTCTAGCTGGCATCGTGCCTCTCACTGTCTCCAAGGCTCTGAGGGCTGCTGCGGGGGAAGGCAGGCCTCCCAGGGCCACTTGCCACTGGGTCCACTCAGACAGACGTGGCCACAACCCCATCAGTGGTGAGAAGCTGTCGGCCTGAAGCCTGGGGAGACTTGGATCTCTCTGAAGTCAGGATCTGCAGAAGGCTCTGGAAGCCACGTTTTGGCATGCTTTGGGCCATTGCTGTACAACTAGACGTCTTTCTCACTCAGTCTCTCTGGGCGATAGTTCCTTGAGCTGCTAGCTCTCTTGATGGTACTATTTCCCTCTGTTTAGGGTGAGCACTTCCCTTCTTGGGTTTTGGCTCAGGAGTCCACATCTCCTCCGTGGCTTCCTCTGGTATCTGCCAGGTGTCTGGTGTGCATGCACAGGAGGCCTGGCTTCTTGGCTTCCCAGCTGCCACCCCACTGTCTGGCAGCATTACGAGTTGTGTGGTTTCAGAATTGTCAGGATCTGATGTACTTGACTGGCTCTCTGGGAATCAATGACCCCTTCTTGATGGGCAGCTGGAGAGTCACATTTCCAGCATCCTCTGGAGAATTCTCTAAGAGCTGCAGAGATGCCTTCTTCTTCCTGTTCATGTCTTGGTACTGGATATCCAGCATGTTTTAATTCTGAATCACTTTCAATGACAATCACTTTCAATGTCATCCATTCTTATACACACAGGTACCTATGTATGTATACACACACCTATACACACATACACATATATACATTCATGTATATATACACACATACATATGTACACCCCCATATACATAAGTACATACATATATACATAGATTTATATCACTTACTGTTCTTATTTATAGCTAGATATAACTTTGGGCTAAGTTGTGAGTTCCTAGAGGGAAGGAACTATGTTTTAATCACCTCTTTAGCCCTGAAACCCACATGTTGTCTGTCACATACATAATGGCACTCTGCTAAATGGTGATTAAGTTGAATTATTGTTTACCTTTAGACTTGAACTCTTCTAACCATAGGGCAGCCACGGTGAGCGTGAACCGTTTGTCTTTTACAGGATGGCCTGGTGAAGACCAACATGGAGAAGCTCACCTTCTATGCCCTCTCAGCTCCAGAAAAGCTAGATCGTATCGGCGCCTACCTTTCCGAGAGGCTCATCCGTGACGTGGGTCGTCATCGATATGGGTGAGTAGTATGGGAAAATGAGAAAGATATTTTCAGAATCTATATTGTATTTTTAGGGCCAAAACTAGTGTCCTTTTGTGGAAATGATAGTAGGCTGGGTTACTGAACAGACAGAGAAATGAGGACTGGGGCCTGGGCTGGGTTCCATGTGCTCTTCCAAAAGCAGGGTAAACTTTGATGCTGTTGGCAAGCTTTGGGAAGAAGGGATGTTGGCTTCCTCAGAGCACCTCTTCTAGCCTGCATCTACCCCTGAGTCTCTGTCCAGAAGCCCTCACACACAGTCTGGGGCCTTAAAAAGTTAGTCTAGCCCAGAATGTGCCATTATTCTCATTAAACCAGTCTCAGCTCCTTCAACTTACTGTCTTAAAAAGCAAGGAGGAACCATCTATGTTGTAATGAGAAGGCAAGGTGAGGGACAATTTGTCCATTAAAATACAATTAAGTGAAATATTTATCAATCTTCTGGGAGAGAAGGACTTGCTATGTTTAGAAAAGAAAAGAAATCTTAAAGAAAATGACTGATCAACAGATTTAACTATTTAAAATTTAAATATTTTGATGTCAAAAAAGAAACCAACAAAATTTAAAAGACGAGTGACAAAAAGAAGTGTTTTAAAAAAAAATAAGACAAAATTCAAACTCACATCATAGTGGCATATGACAAATAGTGAGGGTGGCGTGGGGAAACTTAACAGTTTGAGGCAAGGGCCCCAAATAACCAACTTATAGAAGAGGAGATAGAACTGGTTATAAACATGGGATAATATTCAACAAACTTGTAATCAAAGATGCAGATTGAAATACTGAGATACCATCATCACTTATCAAGTTAATAAGAAATTACATATAATTTCCAGTATTAACCAAGGGAAGGCAAAATGAGAGGCATTTTCATACTTTTCTGGCATGAGTGCAAATTGGTTGAACATTTCTAGAGAGTAATTTTGAAACATATGTCAAGAGCCTCAAAAACACTTATGCCCTTTGATCCAGTAAATTCCATCTCTATTCATCTATCCCAAAGAACCAATCTCTTTCCTTTTTTGGGGGGAGGGGGGTAAGGAAGATTGGCCCTGGGCCAACATCTGTTGCCAATCTTCCTCTTTTTGCTTGAGGAAGATTGCCACTGAGCTAATATCTGTGCCAACCTTCCTCTATTTTGTATGTGAGATGCCACTACAGCATGGCTTGATGAGTGGTGTAGAGGTCTATGCCCTGGATCCGAACCTGCGAACCCTGGGACACGGAAGTGGAGCATGCGAACTTAACCACTATGCCACCAGGCTGGCCCCCAAAGAATCAATCTTAAATATAACCTAGGTTTATACGCAGAGATTTTCATTATGATGTTTTTTATGATAATGAAAATGTGGAAATACCTAAATGTCCAACTAGAGAGTAGTTTAGTAAATTAGGGTGTTTATCCCTTGGTAAAATATCATCTAGTCAATAAAAATGGTGTCTATAAACATGCTTTCCATATAATATGGAAAATGCCTTGAGTAAATGAAAAATAGAATACATAATTATGTACACAGTGTTTACAATCAAGTTAAAAATAAACAACAAATCTCAAAGCCTAGGAAATAGAGTAAAAACAAATATGAGAAAATATTAAGAGTACTCATTTTGTGAGCAGTGTGGCTGGGGTTTTTGGTTTTGTTTTTGACGCACCTTTTTCATATGTTTCCTAAATATTCACTATTGAGCATGTGTTACTTCTACAACAAAAAAAGCGAACTGTGGGACATACTGTGTTTGCTGCCCAGTGCTCAGGCCACAGTTTGGAGAGAGGCTGGGTGTAAAGAGACTCTGAGATGCCCCTGGTGGCACTGCTCATGGGGCGCAGGGTGGGGTGGATGGAAGGCAGTGGTTCCTGAGTCCCGCTGCTTCTGTTCTCCACCAGCCTTTTATGTCCATCCTCTACGCTCCTCTGCTCCTGCTTTGTCTTGGGGCAGGCTCCAGATGATGGCAGGAGCCTTGGAAATTGCCTTCTGGCTCCCGATCTTTCCTGTTCTGGTCCTTCCAGACTAAGACCGTTAGCTATGATCTTCAAAACACAGACCCGAAGCTACACTTTCCTGGCTCCTTTGGAATACAAGCCAAGCCCCTCAGCTTAACTTCTAGGGTCTTCTGCAACCCGCCCCTAACTCACATTCGCCCCCCCCAGCCGTGCCCGCCACACCTGCCACACCTGCTCTAGACCCACTCCAGGCAGACTGGCTGAGCATCCCCCTCTGCCTTTCCGGGTCTCCCACCTCTGGGCCCTTGCGGTGCTCTCTCTCCTTGAACCCCTCCCTGGGCCCCCACCACTGCCCATCAGCCCTACCACCCTCGCCCCTTCCTCCTGGTGAGGAAGATGGAGTGAGAACTAAAGTGAAAACGTTTGCATTGTGCCGATAGCATGTAGAGGTCCACACCTCTACAGGAGCCATGTGCGAATCTTAAGCCGAGCGATCCCTGGTATGGAAGCAGGACCCAAAACAGTACATTTCAAGATCACTTTATATATAAAATTAGGTTACACGCTCAATAAAAAGGGCACAAATATACTGTACATGCTGATTATGTAAATCGCCTTGACATTTTATAAAGTAGGCTCAAGCAAGTGGAAATGACTTTATCCTCGAATGAACCTAAAACCAATACGTGGGCAATAACATTAAACATTTAATACTAATTCTGCCTGCTCTCTGGGCAGTGATGGTTCTCTCAGCAAAAATGCCCTGTAGCCAACAGAGTTGCTTAGAATCACTCCACTGCACTTTGAACTGCAATTCAGAATTGGTATCATTCTGTTGAAAATAGCCATTGCAGCATCTAAGCATCTAAACCCTTGAGGGCTCCCTGGGGCTCTAATCACAAACAGTGGGAAAAGAAAACTCTATTAGATCTGATCCCCAGTTCTCTCTCCTCGCCCTCCCCGTCTTTCCATACCCAGCACCACACTCATCGTCATCTTCCTTCATCACTGATCACAGCTCTGGAAGAGCAAATTATGCACACACAGCTGAGGGGCCGTGCTGCCCTGTCATCATGCAGGTGTCTGTGTTTATGGTTTGACCATGTGGATATGAACCTTGGGTAATGCGCCCAGTGGCAGAACCACCCCCTCCTGCCCCACTGCCCCCTGCGGCACTGCCCCACTCCAGGTGTGTGTGAGCTCTGTGTTTCTGTGTGTTTAGCATCGGGTGATAACTGAATGTGGGCAGAGAGAGGATAAGGTGTGAATTTCAAGGTATTGTTCGGTGGTGTGGACTGTGATGGGCAGCGACATACAGAGCAGCAAAGGGTGAGAACTCCTCACGTTTTCCTCCTTCTTCTCTGTACGTCTCCTTTCCAGTTCAGCCTGACTGCTAGGACTCCCCTAGAAACGGCAGAGCAGGGCGGTAACGGCAGCGCTGGGTGAGACTCAGGCAGTCGACAATGCAGCGTGCAGGATGCTGTATTAGATGCTGTCAGCTTCCCCAGTGCCTGGAGCCCTGGAGGACAGAGATGCCCACACCAAAGAGGGATGAGCAGCTCTCTGAGGAGCCGGGCCCCAGAGCTGACTTGGTGGGACTCCTAAGAGACATACATTCCCCAGAAGGACCCTGAACCTAGTTGGAGGACGAGGCTGACCCTTCCTGCAGAGATATCACAGATTCCTATTAGATGAGGAGGTTCATCCGTCCTTCCCTTGGTTGAGGTCACGCCTCCTTTGGGGATCCTAAAACCCAGGAGGCTCTGTGCAGGAGTGGGGATGACCAGATACATCCAAAATGCCCAGAATAAGAGGTTCTTTGCCAAGGCCACTGCTCTTTTAGTGATCCCTGGGCAATGACTGGACCTGATGAAGCTGCCTCCTCTCTCCTGCCAGCTGGTCCTCATCCCTGACCCTGGATCTGCCTTTCCTCTCCAACTGAGTCTGGTTCCCACACTGGCATGCCCGCTGCTTCTTTCCCGGAGGCTCAGTGCCTGCCTGGCTCCTAGGCCACTTCTGAATGAGCACAAGGTGTTGAAGCAGAACCAGCTGCTATTCTGGAATTCAGGGCAAGGTAGTTCTTGCCTCACTCCTGAGCACCAGGCCGCCTCTACGTTTTCCTCAGCTGTTGTCACTCACCTTCTGCCCTGGCCCCTCTCTCTGAGCTCCTGTTGTTATAACCTGCCGAGTGTCCTCTCCTTACCTCGGTTGCTGCCCATGAACCGCAGTCCATCCCAGATGCCTTGAGTCATGCCCTCCTCACCTGCTGGGAAGCCCCACTAGCACATCTGGGAGCTTGGTGGTCACCTGCTGCCGTCATCTGTAGTCTGCTCTTGCCTTCTCCCTTTGGACCGCTGTAGTGGGCTGGTCCTCACCAGCTCCTTTCTACCCCATCCTGCTCCAAGTTCAGTTTCCCAGTGTTACTACTTTGTACTCCTTCTCGAATGCCAAGCCCAGATAAGATCTCTGCTGAGACTAACCTGTCTGGCCCTAGTTCTGTTGAGTGGACATCACCTGAGAAGCTTGTGCTGTATCCTGTTGAGAGTATAGGCCTAACGGGTGGGACAGACCCAGCAAGGTTATGGTCAGATTGGACCAACACGCTGAGCACTGGACTAGGAGGGTCCAAGGTCCCATTGACTTCTGATCTTCTAAGATACTTTGAAAAGTTCAAGTTTGTAATTACAATCCTTCCATCCTTGGTATTGGGATCAAAGATGGGGAATGAAGAAGAGTGTATTCAAAGAACTAGGCCTTAAACTTCTTTTACTTCTATACTTTTCAGTTTCACTTCTGCCATAATTTTCACTTTCTATCAAAATATCCACTTCTAGTCAGTAACCAGTTTTTTTTTTTTTCCCAGCAAAAGATGGTTTTTCCTTATGAGGATATTCTGGGAATTTTTTTACAGGAAGAGGAAAAATAGCAATCTAAACTCTGGGGTTTGGGAAGCCTTCTAGTTTCTTCTCTTGCCAAACCCCACCCCACCCCTTCCTTTCCCTCATGTACACTCTGTGAACTAATGGTGAAATCCTCCGCACAGAAGGATTCTGGGATGGTTCATAGGAGAGAGGATTCGATGCTGCCTCCCCCCACTTCCCAGCCACCGTGTTGGGTTTCCAGAACGTGTCTGGGTTTCTCTGCAGAGAAAGCCTGTCCCCTTTGCAAGGGCCCCAGCCCAGGCTGCTTCCTCGCCCCACAGGCTTCAGTCTGCTTCACAGGCCCACACCGTGGACCGAACCATGCCGGGCCTGGGTCTGCAAGGCATAGCAGCTTTCCTGGACTGTGACTCTGATGGCCTCTGAAGGGCTGTATGGAGCCAGGAACAGGCAGCCCCCTGGAGCAGGACAAAAGCTGGCTTCGGTGCACAGGAGCTCAAAGCCCCAGTGCTGCCTTTGTATTTAAAGGACATTTATAGATAAGAGCATGACCTGCTCCATTTGTGAATGTGCCCAGGGACAACTATTTAATAATATTTAATAATATTAAATAATAATTTAATAATAATTGACTTGGTTCATATAGGTAAAAGAAATAAACATTTTACAAAAGTGGAAAGGAAAATTTCAAAGTAGAGAGGCTGTTTTCTTGTGGTTGCTCAGTATAGAAGTTAGCATGAGGTACCTAAGAAACGGTATCTAACGTCTTTTAAAAAAGAAATAAGAACATTTAGAAGACACGTGACTGCTGTTACTTTATCTGTGTGGATTTGCCAAGCTGGCTTGTGTGCAAGGCAGTGTGGACGCGCAATGGCTGAAGCTGAGTGGCTGCCACAAGAAGTATTGTGGAACCTTGTGTTGTGGCCTTGTGGTTTCTCCAGATGTCATCCTGTAGTCATGCTTCTGTGCTTTCTTTTTATTTACCAAACTTTATTTTAAAAAAGGAGACAAAGCTAGCCAATCAAGAATTTTTGAATATCTGCTTAACATTCAAATAGGGATATGATTTGGGCTGAGACATAAAGAAGAACAAATCTTTTTTTTTTTTTGGTGAGGAAGATTAGCCCTGAGCTAACATCTGCACCAGTCTTCCTCTATTTTGTATGTGGGATGCCTCCAAAGCATGACTGGAGTAGGTCCACACCTGGGATCCGAACCACAAACACAGGCCACCAAAGCAGAGCACGTGGAAATTTAACCACTCAGCCTTGGGGCCCGCCCAAGAAGTCTTTTAATTCATCCTTTATTGTATGTATGGCATATGAACCTGGCTTTAGAATGCCAGGCAGCTCTAACACGTTAAAAGCCCATGGTGACAGCTTCACTATGATCTTTAAGAGAGGTTGTTTGCTACTTGCTTTTGACTTAGAGGCATTAACGGGATTCCTTAGTGCCTTGTTAGGCTGGGGAGTTCTCCGCTCTCTGCCTCCCCTGCATTTTCTTTGTATTGGCAAGTACTTTCCTTTTCTGTGTGGTTTGGCTTTACGAGGAGAAGGATGGACACCCTGTGATGGGCACGTAGCCCTCACTCCAGGTCCACGAAGTCCTGCGATGGTCTCCCCTCTCGCAGGATAGAATCATTCTCACCTCTTCTCTTTCCTATGAGGTCAGCCACTTGATTTGCTTTGGATTGCTGAGGATTCACTTTTATTTGTACCATCAGGTTTCTAAAGCACTCCTCAGCCTGATTATTAGATACCTGTGTTATTTAGGGTACGAAGAGACTCAAAAATACAGTGGCTCCAGCAATATGGAAAGGGTTTTGCTCTCTCTCTCATGTAATGCCAGACTGGGTGTGTGGGTGCTGCGCCATGAGGTCATCAGGGGACTTTCATCTCTGGGTCTCAATTGTTGCCACCTCTCAGCCAGCAGGAAGAGGGAAGGAGAGGACATGAAGGGCGAGCCTGTCTTTTAAGCAAGCGATGCTGACATTGCTCACCTCACTTCCGCCCATTTTAACGGCAACATTTTAGCCATGTGGTTTCACCGAGCAACACGAGAGGCTGGGAAACGTTCCTAGTGAGCAGCCACAAGCTCAGCTAGAATTCGAAATTACTTGAGAAAAGAGATTCCAGGGGAGGCATCTAGCATGATGCTCCAGGAACCTAACTCTGTAAAGAAAATTATAAAGATTTCAACTGGAATAATTTTGGACAAATTTGTAGCACTTCCTCATCAGAAGTTAAACGGTAACCTTTTTCTATGGACGTCCACTTTGTTTTCTTTAGAACACAAACGTTCCGTGAGTGGAGGGTGCACCTTTCGTGACGGACGCCTCAGCTGACCACGTGCTCTTTATGGCACATCTTGGCACGAATGTGGGGTCGAGTTGAGATGTGCACCCCTAATTCTCAGTCGGAATTTGATTCATGGCATTTTTCTTGGGATTTAAGAGAGGCATTGAAAAAGGCAATGACTGCCCGGATAATTGGGGGTTGTCCTGCGAAGGCTAGTTTGGGAAGGATTGGGTATTTTTAGCATGGAGAAGATAAGAACAAGAAAAACGAGATAGTTGTTGTCAAGTAGTTGAAGGGCAGGCAGGCAGACGGGTTAGCCTCCTTCTTTGCTGCTCCTAAAAGTACAATTGTGAATAAAGGATAAAGGTATTAGGGTTTAGCTTGAAATATAAAGAAATTTTTATTTAGTTGTCAAAAAATGGGATGGGCTGACTTAACCAGTAAACTATTAACCACTGGATATTGTGTATTCCTAGTTTCTGAAGGTATTCACTCAGGTTCTAGACGTTAGAAGAATTAAGCAGTTAGGGACATAGAGTTGACATGGAACACCTTCTTCATAAGGAGAAAAATAATTTTAATCTGTGTCCATCTTATCCTCTGTGAGGTACAAATGCTCCATAGGTAGGGTAAGTGCCGCCCAAAAATAGTAATATCATCCATCATATTGTTTGAGGATCACAGAACTTCTGAGATCTTCAAATATAAAACTTGCAAGTTTTATATTCCGTAACCTTTGCAGGTGACTGGTCCTCAGGAGCATCTCAGATTCTTCATAAAATTTCTTCCTAAATTTCTTCACTTCCTCCCACCTAGAGCCATCGCTCTCCTTCTTTGGAACCCTTGTGGGACATCACACATGATTTTCTTGTAGCATTTCTTATTTCCCCTTTAGAGGAGATATCTGTGTATTTACCTCGTCCATCGGACGCTGGGTTCCTTAAATTGGAGCACTTCTTTATCCGTACACTCCCTGCACTGACTAGGACAGAGCTTTTCCTCAGTAGGTGCTCACAAACACTTCTTGACTTGGATTGAGTAGTTCTCTGATCTCACTGGATTTGGGTTCAGAATTTGCTCTGCTGGGCACCAATCCTTTCTGCTTGTATTTACTCATGAAATGGTACACCTTATATGTCCTCATGTTCTTTGTCTGTAAAGTGAGAGGCTGGATGAATTGGTCCCTAGGCTGCCTTCCAGCTCTGATTCATTCTGATTCTCAGTGCTGGGCTGGAGTGGGCACTTGTTGGAACAGCTGTCCAGGCACTGGCAACCTGAGGAAGAGCCTCATTACCCTGAGGCTGCCCAGTTGGTCACCGCACTGCCATCTAGATTGCCCCAGTCATGCAGTGAGGGTGGAATGAGCATGAGGCAGGTGATGGCAGTGGTGTTGCTTTCCCCAGGTACGTGTGCATTGCCATGGAGGCGCTGGACCAGCTGCTCATGGCCTGCCATTGCCAGAGCATCAACCTCTTTGTGGAGAGCTTCCTCAAGATGGTGGCCAAGCTGCTGGAGTCAGAGAAGCCCAACCTGCAGATCCTCGGCACCAACTCGGTAAGGAGCAGCCCAAGGGGCTCTGGAGGTAGAAGTGGGGAGGAGAGGGCGTGGGACCTCTGGGTCAGTGTTGTTATGACCCATCCCTATTTGGTTTCTGACCCTAAGTACAACTCACTACTTTTCTTAGTGTCTTCTTTTGTGTGAATAAAGGGGTATTTAGTTTTTTAAATTTAAATAAATATATAACATATACTATAATTCATATAAATATATAACAAATAAAATAAATTTTAAAAATTGAATTCACCATATTAAAGCGTATGACTCAGTGCTTTCAGTTTATTCACAAGGTTGTGCAACCATTACCACTATCTACTCTATTTATCTTTAGACTGATAACCTTCAAACTTTTCTTAGAAATGGATTTTTTCCCTTAAGTAACTTTAAGTGGGGTCCCAATAGATAAAAAAATAGATGGAAGGGGAGGCATTCCTTTGAGAGCAGGGGTTGCCCGGCGCCCTCACAGCTCGGCCCCTGAGTCTATGGGGCATACTTTGAAAGCTGCCCAGGTTATACTTCTTTTAAAGATAGAATAAACTGATGTCCACAGGACAGAGGCATCAGATAAGTGGAAAGATCATAGGGAGGCAAGAATTAGGGCTCTGGCTTAGTTTTGCCCTTTGCTAGCTGAGTAACCTCGAGCTGCTTATCTTTTATGGGGCTGTCTTTTCATTGATACGGTGAGCAGATTGAACTTGGTCCAAGCTCTGTAGTGCTGGTCTCAGTACAAGTGGCTGCTGTCGTGAGAGGTTATGGTTTGCGGAGAGAAGAGCTATCAGATGGTCAAGGACCCCCAGCTTCCTATGTATCTATATATACTTGAAAATCCTGGTTGCTTTCTTCGATTTCTTTCTTCAGCTTCTCTCCGCTAATCCCTCCCCTTCAGAGCCTGATTTCAGCTCTAGGTCTTCAAGGAGCTTGGTGTTCAAAGCCCTGATACGCAGCTATTTTACAGATTTCACAAAAGAAAAGTTTAAGGTTTGCCCACTTACCATTCCTGGTCTGACTTTCCTGAATTTTTATTGCACGGTTCACAGCTACTTTCCTGTTCCATGTGAGTTCGTTTAATTGGAAGATAATCTTTCAACTTGACTTCAAGGCTACCAAAAGTAACACCGTATTCCCTTCTCTTTCCTCTCTCTATGAGCCAGCTGCCTTTGACAAATTACATATACAGTAGCTGAGGGTAAAATCTTTTGTGAGGTTGCCCTGGCAACAGCTTCAGATACTGTCTCACTTGTCCTGTTTAAGATAACTATAGTCTAGAAGAGAACATCTGAATGGAAAATAAACCAGTCATCGTGCATCCAGAGGGCGTCTCCCTGTGGGGGACACAAAGCAGGTGGCTGCCAGCTCTTGCTTTCCCCCATAGCAAATCCTGGCCCAGAGTAGGTGTTTCATTAGCTAGAGCCTTGAAAATTTCAGGGCCCTGCAAATTCCTAGATTCCCCATCACAGTGAAATATTGCATCAGCAAGAGAGTGAGTCGACTAATAATTTCCGTACTGCAGACAGTGAAGATAATATAAGGACAGGCGACTGTCAGGAGGTTCGGTCAAATAATTGCTGTAGATTCCGAGTCCAGCTTCGGAAGCGGCCTTTGCTCGTGGTGCCCTTCCCCCAGAGGCCCTTTCCAGCTCTAAGCCTGGGATCTTGCTTGAGCTTCCCAAGAAGAGTGTTCTTTTGCTCCTCATCGTTTTAGAACCGCCAGTATGCCAGTGCTTGATGGAATCTTAGAGAGTCTAGCCTCTGCATTTCTACTGGTTTTTATGATTCGAGGCTTTGTGGGGGCAAAGGGGACCTGGGGGACGAGAAAGAAAAGGACTGTGTATGGAAGCTTACAACATTTCATTTGGATAAAGAGTTTTACTGCCAGGAAATTAAAAGAAAGACAAGGAAGTAGGGAAAAAGAGAAAAGGAAAAGAAGAAAACCATTGAGCTCATCCAACACCCTCATTTTGCTGGATTTCTCTGCCTGGAAGCAGAGGCCCAGAGAAGTCAAATAGCTCGTGTGTGCTTGCACAGTGATCCCCGGCTTTAGCCAGTGATGTCTTCAGCCCTCTACCATGTAGTCTCCCCTCACTGGGCCCCACCTAACGTGGGGTCCCCTCCCCAGAGCCAGCCACAGCTCCAGCCTCTCTGTGGCCAGGCTCACTCTGTCACTAAGTGGCCCATGGCCTTGTGGGTGAGAAGCTGAGAAAAACATTCACCCTGAGCCGGCTCTGCCTCCCTCGAGCTTTGCCCTCAGACCTGGTTTTGCTGCCTGAACCGGCTCAGAACAAATCTCCTCCTTTTGCAGAGCGTCTCTCCAGAAACCCTACCCACTTCAGGTCCCACACCTGGCCAACGACAGAGTCTCCTGGAGAGCTTTAGAAACCTACAGATTCCCAAGTCTCAGCCAGACCCACTGATCAGCATCCCTGGAGGGGGCACCTGGGGGTCTAGGTTTTCGTTTGCCTGTGACAGTAGCAGTAGGTTTGGGGACCGCTGACACGCTGCAGTCTTAAACCTGTGCAGGATTCCTTCTCTTCTTCCTTCCTCCCTTCCTTCCTTCCTCTCTTGCTCCCTCCCTCCTTTCTTCTCTCTCTTTCTCTCTTTCCCTTCCTCCCTCTCTCCTTCCGTCTTCCTTTCTTTCCACATCCCTCATGGATATTCATCCAACTTGGGCTTGATCACCCCAAGGATGAAGCTGTGCTGAGAAATACAAATTTGCTAATACCACTCCTGCACATTACATGGAGTAAAGTATAATTTTAAAAATTTAGGTGACGCTTTCCAGCCCTTAATGAGAATATCTGAGCTTTGAATGACAACGAGGGACCAGGAAAGTCTGGAGAAGATGGGGAGCCAGGGCCAGCGAGGCTCGTTCAGGGCTGTGTTTCTGCACACCCGCCTTGTGGCTTGATGGTTCCAAGTGTGTGTCTCTGGGACAGTGCAGTGACCGTGTGTCCTAATCTTTTGAGGTCACTCGCTAATGATATACAGAAAATATTAAATCTGAGAATGCCAAGGTCCTCTACATAAATAACGCAATATATTAGCATACTGTCAATAGTAAAATATGAAGGGTCGTGGATTTAAAGTTTGCACTTTCAACTCTACCTTACAACATGTAGAAAAATTAACTAGAAATAGATCAAAGACCTAAATATATGAGCTACACTATAAAACTCTCAGAAAAAACTGTAAGGGTATATATCTTTATGATCTTGAATTTGGCAATGGATTCTTAGATAGAACATCAAAAACAAAAACAACACAAGAAAAAATAGATAAATGGGACTTCATCAAAATTAAAAACTTTCATGCATCAGAGGACACTATCAAGAAAGTGAAAAGACAACACAAAGAATGGGAGAAAATATTTACAAATCATATATTGATAAGAGTCCAGTAACCAGAATATAAGAAAAACTCTTACAACTCAACAACAAAAAGACAACCTAATTTAAAAACGGGCAAAAGACTTGAATAGACATTTCTCCAAAGAAGATACACAAATGGCCAACGAGCACGTGAAAAGATGCTCAATGTCACTAATCATTAAGGAAATGCAAGTCAAAACCGCAACGAGATACCACTTCACACCCAGATAAGTGGGTGTAAAAAATGGCTATTAAAAAAAAACCCTATAAAATTGTAGGTGAGGATCTGTAGAAATTGCTGGTGGAAATGTAAAATGGTGTGGAAAACAGCCGAGTGATTCCTCAAAAAGTTAAACATATAGAATTACCATATGACTCAGCAGTTCTCCCTAGGTTTACACCCAAAAGAACTGGAAACAGGTATTTAAACAAATACTTGTACACAAGTGTTCATAGCAGCACTATTCACAATAGCCAAAAGGTGGAACAAACCAGAAGGCCACATATCGTATGATTCCATTTATATGAGATGTTCAGAATACGTAAATCCACAGAGACAGAAAGCAGATTGTGTTTGGCAGAGGCTGGGGGAGAGAGGAATGGAAACTGACTGATTAATGGGTACAGCGTTTCCTTTTGGGGTGAGGAAAATGCTTTCGTTGCAAAACATTGTGAATGTATTAAATGCCACTGAATTGTGCACTTTAAAAGGGTTAATTCTGTGAATTTTAAAAAATGGCACTTTCGGCTGCGAGTGACCCAAAGTCAATGGCGTATAGCATTTGTGGGTTGATCACAGCACAACCTCAAGTCAATCACACTGAGGTGGTGCGAAAGCGAGTCACGCCGCCACTCTGGGGAAGGGTGGCTCCTCCAGCAGGTTCCAGCTCTTTCCTTCCTGCACAACCGGAAGGCTGTGACCGCCCAGAGCTCTGCCCATTCCTGCTGCTCTCTCGCGCCCCTCTACCTCCTTGAGATGTCACCTCCCTGATGCCTTCCCTTCTCTCAGGGTCAGCTCCCCCTGAGGTTTCCTTTCGTGGCCTCCCGCCTAGACCCCATGGGAACCATACTCTTTGTTCACCTGTCTTAGCCTCCCTGCCACACTCTGCCTTCTCCACCCGCGGTCCCAGCTCAGAGAACCACACGACATGGGGGTGGGGCCTCTGTAAATACATGCTTTACAATTTTATTGGGGCTTCCAGGACAGCCCCCCAGTTCATTCTTTGACCACCACCCTCTCTCATCCTCTCAGTGGTCACTGCAAACCTTCTGTTTTCTCAAGTCCCTTCCCAAATCTGCATCTTCAGTCTCAGGTGGCCTTGCTGTCTTCTGCCCACTGAGAAAATAGCGGCTGTCAGCTGGGGTTCCCTCAACTTCTGCCTCTGTCTCCTTCCTCTCCTGAAGGTTCCCATCTCCTCAGGAACCCTCCTACCTCCATTATTTCTCTCTCCATGTCTTCACCCTTTTCCTTTCTCTGGTTCCTTCTCAGTCTAAACATAAGTTTAAGTCTCTTCTAGTATAAAAATAAAGTAAATAAACAAACAAGAAAAAAACGAAAAAAATTGCACTCTGCATAACCACAAAATACCTTTAGCTCACCTGACAAAACTATCATTCCGATTTTTTTTAATAT